GGGGGGGGGGGGGAAGGTCATTTAGATCTTTGGAATAGGCTGTAATCAATCTGCTGATGATAGCATGTGTCAGCCTCTTACAGCAGGGCACAACCAAGGAAGCAAGAATTGCACAGACTTCAACAAGAAGTGTTAACATAAAAATTAAAGGTAAGGTATCACGTTTTGGAAATTGTTGTATGAACCTGCAGCCCTCTTTTATTAGTGAGTTTTTTAAGACAGAATCTCTTTGGAAATTTTGAAGCTCTTCTTCCCAGATTTTCTGCAATCTGGACCGAGATGCTATTAATTAGATAAGCAACTAATAAACTCAGCCATCTGTTGATTGTTTATGTGCAGAGCTCCTCCCACTTCTCTCTAGCCTCTTCACGATCTCTCACATTATGTTGTGATGCTCCTTAATATCAAACTCCAAGGAAGCAATCAATACCCTTGAAGGCAGCCTAATCTTGATAATGGGCTGGAAGAGGGAAAAAAAGCTGAAATTAAATCCAGGTGAGATAGAAGTACTTTTAATGAGGCAAAACTGGGACTGAGATAAAGCCTGTTGTGGAAGGAGTTGCAATCCCCAAAAAGAGCAGGTTCACAGGGGGTGGCCCTTAAGTCCAGCTATCACTGGATTTGTAGATAGGAGCTGTGGTAACATGTGCATTTGCACAATTATAGACAGGGCACTACCTCTGAGCCTTCTTGAGTCATTCAGACTTAACAACAGGTATCCATGCCTTGATTTTAACTCATCTTAACTACTGTAATATGCTTTACATGAGCTTACCTTTGAGAAGGGTCCAGAAATACAATTGGGGCAAAAATGCAGTGGCCAGGCTGCTGCTCAGTGCAAGATACAAGGTTCACATGATGTCTGGATTTAAAGTTCTGCACTGGCCACCCTACTAGGCACAATTTAACATGGTGGTGTTGATCACGACAGCCTTGAAGGGCCTGATTATCTGTGGGACCACCTCTGTCCCTCCAGTCAGAGATGCCTCTGTTGCTAGAAGCTTGTCTGTCAGTGCAGGGGAGAGACCCTTCTCTGGTGCGGTTCCCAGGCTGTAAATGCATTCCCAAAAGAGGCCCCTTAAGCTTCCACAATCTCAGTATTTAGAAAGATGGTAAGGACACCACACTTTTGCCAAGTTTTTAACCAACTATTGTAAGGGCTGGTTTTAATTTTGGTTTCAATCATATTAATTTTGTTCTGTTTTCTACTCTGTGTTTTTATTGTTGCAAGCTGCTTTGAGTGTTGGAATAAACAGAAAGGTGGGTTATTCATCCAATAAATAAATAAATATGAATTAAAGATACTTCTATGAAGATTAGAAAAAATGCTATGTATTGAGGATTTGTGTAATCATTATTATCCAGTTGAAATTTAAATCAGAGCTCAATGAATAGACTTAATAAGGAATTGGTGTTTATATACAGTACTTCTGCATCCCAAAATAAGCATTGAG